CTGATGCTGCTTACAAGAAAGAGATGAACTTGAGGGTTGTGGACAAAAACACCGTAAGCATCATTCGTATCTGTTCTGCTTGTCACTCTGTTGAAGTATGTAAATTTTCTGGCACGAAATGATTTGAGATTAATTGCTGCTGGCAGATCACTGTCTCATTCGATGAGACTACCACTTTGGAGGATGTCGACAAGCTTTTCTCAGTATTTGCATGTGGCAAGCCTGTGAGTGCAAGCAGTCTTTCTTGGGCTATGAGTTGATTAACTGCTGCAGTAATTCCATTTTTTGACTGGTTCCTCAGGGAAAAAATTATATGCAGGTCCCATTCACTGCCGCATCACTTGCACCAGAGGTTGTTTCCTTGATTCCAACTGGGCTTATAAGGGAGACTCCATATCTGACGCATCCGATCTTTAACACGTAATTGCCTTTGAGATGATTTGGTTTCCATCTGTCTGCTAATGTGCCCGACTCTGACTCTTATATTGGTTCTAATAGGTATCACACCGAGCACGAGCTGCTCAGATACATCCATAGGCTGCAGTCCAAGGATTTGTCTCTGTGCCATAGTATGATTCCATTGGGATCTTGCACGATGAAATTGAACGCTACCACGGAGATGATGCCTGTGACATGGCCCAACTTTACAGACATACATCCTTTCGCCCCAGCTGAGCAGGCTGAGGGTTATCAGGTAATTTGCTGTGAATCTTTATATGAATTTTACAAATATAGTAGATGTCGTTAAGGCCAGATTCATTTGAATACAAGCTAATGCAAGAATGAGATTGGTCTCAATCTTTCAGGAAATGTTCAATGATTTGGGCAAACTGCTGTGTACGATTACCGGGTTTGATTCTTTCTCTTTGCAACCCAATGCTGGTGCAGCTGGAGAATATGCAGGTCTCATGGTCATCCGCGCGTATCACTTGGTATGGTGACAGAAAAGCCATATATTTACTGGTTGCTTCCTCTCTCAGTCAATGATTGGTGTGAAAGCAGCATTAAATGCTTAAGTTGTGAACTTTTTCTAGAAACAGAAAAGAAAAATGCAGACATGCCTTTGGCAACGGCTACTATTAACACTTTTTCTTCAAGTACTTTCATATAGAAAGATCTGTAAGAGTTTCTGATGTGGCAGAAGAATAATGTAGTTTGACATTTACAGAGCATGACCAGATGTTTTATCTTCAAAGTATTCAGATTTTCAGACTGTTGTGATATGCCTGCTGATTGTCTGTTTCTTACTCTTCCAATTATTGGCACGTGTGGCAGTTCATTCAATTAATTGCATTCTCCTTCACAGTACTTTCTTAACTAAACCCATCCTGGTGCTGCATTTTAATTAGTCTGCTTATTTTGGTTACTGATTTGGTGCCTTAGGCGAGAGGGGACCATGATCGCAATGTGTGCATCATTCCTGTCTCTGCTCATGGGACAAATCCTGCCAGTGCTGCTATGTGTGGTATGAAAATCGTTGCTGTTGGAACTGACGCCAAGGGTAATATCAACATTGAGGAGCTGAGAAAAGCAGCAGAAGCAAATAGAGATAACTTGTCTGCCCTTATGGTGAGCCTAATTTCTCATTAACTGGAAAATAATTTTTCATAGATTTCAGACTGGTGATATAATCAGGACCTTGTTATTTATCTTGTTTCAATGCGAACTTCAGGTCACATATCCTTCAACCCATGGAGTGTATGAGGAAGGCATAGATGAGATATGCAAGATAATTCACGACAATGGAGGTCAAGTGTACATGGATGGAGCAAACATGAATGCACAGGTTTGTTTTTTCCTTTTTGCTGCACTCGAGCAATATTGATTCTACTCAAGCTATATTGATTCTATTTCTCGGACACCTGAGAGGTGTGGTTCATAGCTACTATTCTCAACTGTCCAATCATTAGCGTTTTACTTGATAACACTTGAAATGCTCAAATTAGTCAGAGATGCACCTTGACATATGATCCAGATTATAATTGTTAGTGCGCAGTCAGGTTATGAAAGAGGAGTAGTTGATTAGTGTGCAGTAGTTCTTCGTCCTGAGAAAAATTCAAGTTCAATGCCTGGTGTGCGAGGTATCTTTCAGCATATTAAATCTAATTTAATATATTTGGTTCTTGTAGGTGGGTTTGACAAGCCCAGGATTTATTGGAGCCGATGTTTGTCATCTCAATCTCCACAAAACATTTTGCATTCCACATGGAGGCGGTGGTCCAGGCATGGGTCCTATTGGTGTGAAGAAGCACTTGGCACCTTTTCTGCCTTCGCATCCAGTAGTATGTACTTTTCAGACATGAAAATAATTTACTGTTTTTTCTCTGTCATCACATTATGATCCTCCGTGATGGTAATTGGACCAAATAGACGTTGTGTCATCGGTGTATGCTACCGAAATTCTGCTGCATAGAGGCCTGTCTAATTAAGTTATTAATCTTTTATACTTTTGTCTTAAAGGTTTCTACGGGTGGTATACCAGCCCCAGATAAGTCCCAGCCATTGGGTACAATTTCCGCTGCTCCATGGGGCTCGGCACTTATCTTGCCGATATCATACACTTACATAGCCATGATGGGATCTAAGGGACTCACTGAAGCATCAAAGATAGCAATTTTGAATGCAAACTACATGGCAAAACGTTTGGAGGTTTGTCCTTTTTGTCCTTTAATTATCTTTTTGTTGCTCTTGCTCCTTTGTATACTTGATTCGTCATAAATCTCAGTGTAGTGCAGTGCAATAGGTGCATGTTCCATCTTGGCTTTGTTGCCAAACTTCCGAAGAATATTTCTTTTTCTTTAGTGGTTGTCTTCTCACTGGAAGAGAATGTAACAAAGTTGCAGAAATGAGGATCTCGTAATCTTGTGGGAAACAACTATGGCCTAATTTGTCATCTCATCGTCTGTACTCTGGTTTGCAGAACTACTACCCCATCTTGTTCCGTGGAGCCAATGGGACAGTTGCCCATGAATTCATTGTTGACCTAAGGGGCTTTAAGGTAGTGTGTATTCAGTTAATGTCTTATATGTTTGCCTTTTGTTGGTTTTTAATCAACTGGGCAAGCTATTCTATTGCAGAATACTGCTGGAATCGAGCCTGAAGATGTCGCAAAACGTCTAATGGACTATGGATTCCATGGACCAACCATGTCATGGCCAGTCCCTGGCACACTGATGATTGAACCCACTGAAAGTGAAAGCAAGGTAATGACAAGCAAGAACACGATCTTTTCAGTTTTCTTTTGTCCAAGGTCTTTGAAACAACTTAGCAGTAACGGATCATTTGTTGCAGGCTGAGTTGGACAGATTCTGCGATGCTCTCATCTCCATTAGAGAAGAAATTGCACAAATCGAAAAGGGAAAAGCTGATGTCCACAACAATGTCTTGAAGGTATGAGAAGAATGGTATCTTTACGGGGAGCTTCTAGAGTACTTGTTAATAAGCTTTGGCGAATAAAAATTAAAAGTACAACAAGTGCAATACAGAGTATTTTTTTCACATCAGTTGAAAAGTCGTCACTTCAAAACGATCTAATGTTCAAATGCACAAGAAATATATTTAGACAAGTTTAGGACACTCATCCATTCTCCTATCGATTTCTTTTACACAATCAAGGTTGGATATATAAATGCTTCGACTGAACTTTTTTACTTGATGATCTTCTGTGGAACTTCTAATTTTGGATATATTTTAGTCTGCTCCCCACCCACCATCATTGCTTATGGGAGACTCATGGACAAAGCCGTATTCTCGGGAATATGCAGCTTTTCCAGCTTCCTGGCTCCGTACCGCAAAGTTCTGGCCATCCACGGGTATGTCTACCTTATCTTATTCGACCATGTGCAACGTTATATGCAAATGGTTGTTTCGACTGATGCTGCTTTCATCATGAGATTTAGGCTATACTCCGGAATGTTGACTTAAAATATTGCATATCCATTGAATTTTGAAGTATGACACCTCCTTAAATGGAAAGTATGGGTTTTCAAATTTTAAAATATGGTTCGTTGTTACGTACCCGGAACATCATCTTCGTGTTACCACAAAGTTAAACTAAAATAATAGCTTATGCTGTGGATATCAGTAGATACTATATGTAGCTGCTACCGCATTGCATGTTCATAGTGAACAGCTACCATGATCTTCTTATTTCGCCTCCTTTGCAACCCCAGAAGTTTTCCATTTAATCTTTTCTCCAAGCATGATTCAAGGGATACATTTCTTTCCAAAATTTTGTTTAAAGCTTAGATTTGAAATTCTGTTTGATGATCATGATATGTATGCTATCTATTTTCAACTACTGGTATTTTCAAAGATGGGTATAGAACTTGTAGAGTGTGAGTTTGGGTATAGTGAAGTCTGGGGTGGCAGCTATTTAGAATGTTTTATTCATGTCTGTTTCAAGTGCTTCCCTGCCAAAGAAAAGAATACAAAAGAAACTAATTATTCTTCTTGTGTGCTGCTCAACATTCTACCAGGACGCATTGACAATGTGTATGGTGACCGCAACCTCATCTGCACTCTCCAGCCAACATCACAAGTTGTTGAGGAGCAAGCAGCGGCTACCGCCTAGAATCTCTCTCTCTCTCTGCCAAAAAGAAGCAATCCCTCAATGTATATAAGTTGCCAATGTGGCACACTCCACATCTGGTGATATTTAGTTCCTATGATGTCATTATCTTAAAACGATGAATAACAGGGGTTGCTAATTGCAACCCAAGCATTATTCTTCACTTATCTGTTCCATCTGTCTTGGCCACGATCCGATTTTAAGCATTTAAACAGTAGGGAGAAGCAGCAAATTGTAAGCACCGGTCTGATTGCACATCACCTTTTCAAATATCACTCGACGCCTAAGCAGAACACTAAGAAGGGTAAAAACTGACCACTCTGGATCTGTGTTGACCAAAGTAATAAAAGTCTTGAATGAGAGCGGACTTAAGAAGGATCATTCACGAATGAATGAATTATATGTAGCAAAAGAATTAAGAGTACACCAATACCATAAAAAGGAGGTTTAAAATTATAGAAAACATCTTATTCTGTACATGTGTTGTCTATACACACTGAGAGGTACAAATTCAATTGTTATCTCAAGAATGCGGATAATAGCCAAGGCCTGCAAATGAGAGTTGAACTCAACTTTATGAGGGTATTATATGGAAGTGCTTCGTCCCTTCTATTGGTCCCAGTAGTTCCTGAGCTGGGACATGTGCAAGAGAAGCTCGTCTCTTCCTAAACCGGTGACGCTGCTAGTCATGATCCACGGAGGATGCTCCCGGTAGCTTTCCCTAATCACTTCCTGGAAGCTCCTTATGTTCTCATCAGGCCTCTTCCCTCCCTTCATCTTGTCGCATTTTGTGAAAACGAAGGTTAGAGGTATCTGAACAAGTGGAGAAGAGTAACATCATCAGTACGTTCAGCCACTGTTGAATGTTGATTCTACAACTAAGAAACTAAGAAAGCAGTGTACTTTGTTGCGTCCCAGCCAATTTGCACAATCAAGGTCAATCTTTTGAGGAGGAACACTCGCATCGATAAGAAGTAAGACGGCAACTAGCGTATCTCTGTTCAAAAAGTAGCCCTTTGTAAATGCTGACCAATCCATTCGAACAGATCCCGGGGCCTTAGCAAACCTATGAATGAGCAAGAAATCCACAGAGCAAATGACTTAATCTCATGTTCAAGAACCTAACGCATCAGAATATCTCATCCAAAGACAAGGTCAAGATGGTTAATAAACAGATAATATAGCATGTCCATGGTCACCTTGCCTCGACCCCGACATGCTCAAATGTGGAAATTAAACCACGGTCAATCTCAAGAGTATTAACGATAAGAATTAACTAATTGCAAGGGTACCACACAATATAAACACTTGGTTGGAATCTACAAATCTACTGCCAAAGGACTGTGATTAATGATTGCAGATCACAACCTATAACTGGAAGCGGGTATATCAAAGGCAGGTCCCAAACTGCAGTAAGACACCAAAAGCTAAATCTATTGCAAGGTTAATAGCTCAGCGCCTGCAGGTAAATCATAACATGATACTACCCTAGAAAGACAAGCTGGAATTCTAGGAAGCAAAAAGGAAGCCTACAACGTTTAAGCAGTTTCCATTAGTCAGATAACCTAGAAACAAAATCACAAAAGATGAAAGGAACTATTGTAAACGCTAAAAGCAGAGTTTATAGCACAAAATCTGACACAACGCAGGATCAATTCTAGGAAGTGCAATATATTTTGCATTTATATATATTCACATATCTGCAGACATCCATAACAACTTATGCGCTTCTAGAAAGATATACATCAGGCATTCGACGAAACTGTCAAGTTACAAAAGCAGAAATGAAAAGCCAGGTATGATTACTTTTATGGATATACAAATTTACTTCTTCTGCATCAGGATTCATGGCAAAAGATGGAAACTACTCCTTCGCCGCTTGTCAAAGGGTCCATTACGTGAAGAACAGAAAGACCCAAAATTGAAGACGGAATTCCCAGCATGTACATCTTAGCTAAAAGAATTACCGCCTCGGCATATCCAAAGCGACGAATCAAATATGCTCAAACCATTTAAGCCTGATTAATCAAGTTTCAGAAGCTCGTCAAAAAGTTGCGATCTAATGGTTTTTCACTTTCCCACTCTAACAACTTCGAATCGACTCACCTCACTCAATTAGTTGCAGCATTGCAGAAACAAAACTTACATATTAGCTCACATTCTGTGATTTTTTTTGCATTTATAAGCTGCCACACGACATAAGAAGTTCGAGCAAGTCAAAAGACAGGTGCTTAAAGCTCACCCATAACCCGGCAAATCCACAATATACCAACTCTTGTTCACCAAGAAGTGATTTATAAGCTGAGTCTTGCCTGCAACATAAATCATCACATCAATCAATCAATCAGCTCATCCCTCGCCAACAAAGTCAAACCACACGAAACAACGTCATTTGACGACCACTATAAAAAGACACAAAACATCATTTGACGACGGAAAAAAAGAAGACCTGGTTTCTTGGATGTAAGCGCAACTTCCTTCTTCCGCACCAGAGCATTGATAAGCGAAGACTTGCCCACATTCGACCGACCCAGAATCGCAAACTCGGGCCTCCCGTCTTTGGGACAGTCCTTGGCCCTCCCGCTGCTCTTCACGAACTCCACCTCCTTGACCTGGGCGTGACCCGCGTAGGGCCCGGCGACGATGTTCGACCCGGGGAGCACCATGTCTTCGGATACCTCGGCCGGGTCAACCCCGGGCGGGACGAAGAACACCTTCCGGAAGATCCCGGCCGAGTCCGAGGCCGAGGCCGGCGGGCTCGCGTTCCTGGAAGCGGAGGCGTGGAAGCTCAGGCCGGAGTGCGAGAGAGGAGGGCTCCTGAGAGGGAGCGAGAAGAGCGGGGCGTTCGGAGATGGCCGGAGCGACGGTGGAAGAAGAAGAAGGGAGGTGGAGTGCAGGGTGAAGAGGCGACTTCGCAGCGCAATCGCCATTGCCGGAGAGGGAAGAGATGCTCCGCTTTGCTTTGCTCTGCTCCGAGCTGCAGCTGAGCCCCTTGGGGGGGGGGTGGGGAAGCGAGCCTGTGGGCTTCGGCTTAACGACGCCGTCTAGCCGCCATCTGGATTTGCTTACGAAATGGCGAGGGGAAATAACTCAAATAATCTCATAATTTTGGGTCAATATGCAATGTGATTCCTAAATTATTAATTTATTTAATACGGTTCCTGAACTTTTAATTTTTTCTAACTTTTAGTACATGTTCAATTTAATCTCTTAATTATATGAAAATATATAATGTAGTTATTTCATTAATTCAAGTTGAGGAGCTATGCAGGTATATGCATAGAAACAATTATATATCTTTCAATAATATAATTAGATAATGTTGGGCATGCTTCTGGTTAAATACATAGATACGGTTCTTTAATTAGGGATAACCAAGTTTTCTCACTTTTATAAGTGAGTGTCACAAATGTACCTGTTAGGCATGTTTCATAAGAAAACATTCAAGATATTAATTAGGACTGGGAATTAGTAATTCGTATTACATCGTGTTAATCTATGCTTCAAAATAGCTACATAGTATAGATATGGTTAATCTAAGCACGACACATTTTATAAGCATGCCAAACTGATTCGACACAAGTACGACAGAACTAATAAAGCGGGGGGAAAATTGTCAAATCAGTCCTAAACCGATTGTACGGCAGCCAATTCAGTCCTAAACCTTTTAATTTTGTCAATTCAGTCCTAAACCTTTTAAATTCTTGCTAATTGAGTCCTTCCGGCCAATTTTGGCCGTCCGGCGCTGACGTGGCCGCCGGCCGATGCTAGCCGTCCGGTCAACGCTGACGTGGTAATTTTTAATTATTTTTTTTCAATTTTTTAATCTTTTTTTTTCTGCTTTGTCCCCTCTAGCCGGTCCGGCGACCGGCGGCCGGCCAGAGGGGAGGGTCGGCGAGGCCTCTGGCGAAGCTCGCCCCGCTGGCCACCGGCGAGGGCGATCCTTGCCGTCGCGACCCAGGCGACGGCGAGGCTCGACCTCGCCTCGCCCAACCAGTGGCCGGCGAGGCTCGCCCTCGCCGGTGGCCGGTGAGGGCGAGGGCGAGCTTCGCCAGAGGCCTCGCCGGCCCTCCCCTCTGGCCGGCCGCCAGTCGCCGGACCGGCCAGAAGGGACAAAGCAGAAAAAAAAAAAAGAAAAAGAAAAAAAAAGATTAAAAAATTGAAAAAAAATAATTAAAAATTGCCACGTCAGCGTTGACAGGACGGCCGGCGCCGGCCGGCAGCCACGTCAGCGCCGGCCGGCCAAAATTGGCCGGAAGGACTCAATTGGTAAGAATTTAAAAGGTTTATGACTGAATTGGTAACATTAAAAGATTTAGGATTGAATTGGCCGCCGTACAATAGATTTAGGACTGATTTGACAATTTTCCCATAAAGCGGGTCATGTGACGCAATTAGCATAATTTTCAAACATGTTACCTTGTCGGGTGTCAACACAATATAATACGTTATTCTGTTTATAAATATATGTTTGCCTATCCACGCCTATCTATACGATAAACACACGTAAATCTAATTATTTACACCAACGTTGGACAACGCAACATACAGACCAGGACAATAGCAATGTTTCCCTAAAGCAGGGTGAGTTTTAGATAACATGTCTTCTTTACTTACTCCTGTTAGCTTCACCCATGCTTTTGCATTCCTGCGGCGTGTGAGTGTCCAACGAACTCAGGCGCCAGAATATGCCAAAGCAGCAAACTTTTCGGTGGCGATTAGTGGTTTTGACATCCACAGCAATAGGAATTCTCTTCACAGCAGTACTAGTTGCAACAACGAGTGAGTTCCCGAGATGCTTACGAACCAAAGAGAAGTCATGACAGAAACGTCAAAGGTCGATTATCATCTCGCGCTTACAATCTTCCTCAATAGTATCCAACCGGTTCTTCATAGTACTCCTCGTAATGCCTTACTAGCATAATTTGAAATGTCACAATTGTAAGATTTGGCTTTTGCTTATCTTGATTGAGCATTTGGGCGAACCGTAAATACTTGTCCAGGGGTGGCAGTCGGTGCAGGTTGGCAATTCTTTATTGCCATAGTGAACTACTATATTTTCAAGCTTCCAATCTGAACCTTATTTGGATACAAGTTCAAGCTCGGTGCACGTGGCATTTGGATCAGGATGCTGATTGGTTGTCTAATACAAAATGTCGTGCTTCTCTATTGATTGGCACCTCTAGAGACATGAGAATTGCACGGACATTGCACATCATTGCACGTACATTGCACGAATATTGCATATATATCTCTCTTTGATTGTGCATATATTGATTAAGATGATATTATCTTAGATTAGTTATCTAATAAAAATGATGTATTCATCATTAATATAAATATAAAAATATACACAGAAATTCCAGAACTTTATTTTCCGCATTATTCATAAATCTATCAAAGACAGGAAGAAGCATGCCGGAATTGAGGGATCTATCAAGAATCCTTGTGAATCGTCTCTAGGTGATCATGTTGTATAGGAGTTAAGTACGAGATTAGAATGACGTGTAATCTCAATCCATCAAAACTTGGCTTAGTTTTCGAGATATGGCGGCTTAGTTTTCGAGACATGCATTCCGTGGTGTTCTTGTCATGGTGCTTTGCAACAGTCATTTATGGCACCTCACCACCAGAAAATTATTCTTGCCATTTTCTTCGGGGATGTAGGGTGGGTCATCTATCTTCCATGTGTGTTTCTCCACATGGTCACGAGAAAGTTCATGTTTGCATGTCCGAGCAATTCTTTTAGATCCGTCCTGCTCAGGATCTGGGACATCTGCCGAGAGATTGGATCATCTGCTGCCTTCTTACACGACTGGTAATTATCTATTATTTATGCCTTAATTAACCTCTTAAGTGTTTCTTTAAATGGTATCCAATGGCTTTCTTTTTTCAGGAGTTATGGACTACCATCAATGTCTTGTATTATATATATATATATGCATCTTTTGCATTTCATTATATTCATAATGTCCAAACCCCTTTGCAATCTCGGTTATCCAGGTCATGCAGCTGATGGTACAGAAATGGCGAGGCTCAATAAACTTGCAGCTTTTCAGAAGAAGGCCCTGACACATGCATTATCTTGTAAGATTGTTGATCGATTCTTAGACCAATAGTAATGCATCGGAAGATCTCATGTATTTTTCTCTGTACAGTTCTAGCTGTAGAAAGAGCCGTCTATAGTATATGCTCCGTCCACCAAATCGAAAACGAAGATGTAGTACAGTCTATCCTCCCTCTTGCTGCTTCTCTTGGCTTTCGCCTGGAAGCTTCCTTTCCCCCAGTGGATTCGCCAGGGTCTCCCAGTATTCGAAGGCGGTAAGTGCTGTGTCATTTGATTTTAACCTCCAGGAGGACTCTTTCTTTGCAATGCTCTTTGAAAGCCAGTTTTACCCGTTTTCCTGCTAAATCAATGTTCCTTGTCATGCAGCTGAAAAGTTACTGCGGACCGATCCCGTAGAGGACAAAGAGGGTTTTTTCATTGCACTGTTTGTCAAAGAACATGTGGACGGGCACAGTGGAATTCCATCTGGATTCTCTACTCAGAAAACCAACAGTAGAGTCTCCCGTTCGATAAAGAAGAGATCTGTAGCAGGCACAAAGCTTTTTTTTTTTTGGTCAGAATTACTGGCACAAAGTTGTCCAGGTTGCTTTTTTACTCACCAGAATTTCAGACTAAAACTACTTGAGAATCATTGAGGTAGGCAATTCGGAATCCTTACGTCTTGACCTCGTTGCCATCTTTTCTTTAGCTTAACCTAAGTAAATCAAAATGCTTACATAACCCACTACCTAAATGCGATTTTTTTTAAAAATCTAATGTATTATGCTCACGTTTCTCACTGATAATTAATGTCGCATTACATATATGACTTTCCCTCGTGTTGCTCTACAATCATGCAATACCTCGTAAAGACTGATTCGTAACTTTCTAGTAGATTTCTTTCTTTTGACATAATTAGCTTAATTATTGGTACATATATATGCTCGAATTAATTAGAGATTTTTTTAGCATGATTGATTAGATAAGAAATTCATTTTTACGTTGTGTAAAGTTAAATCTTGGACATCATCATCATGTCATCATATATTCTACAAAGAGGCTTCGGACACCATGCTCATAAGACATTCCTCATTTAGAACGAAGCAAGCAATTGAACAAGCGCCTACTTTGCGCTTTTCGGCTTGTACGAGCTTGTCCGCAACAAACTGAGGACTCCCAAATTCGCCGAGGCTTGCAAGACGAACTGGACTCACCACCACTCCCACGTTGTTGCTCCCCTTGGTTGGCTCCTCAAACAGCACCGTGCTCCTGCTTTATCCACCTTCAGTTCCAACAATAAACAACTCCAATTACTTGGACAGCCATGGCATTTTTGCGAGTCTGATATTCATTATACATCGTACATTGTACATACAGATGTGTACCTTAACCCAAGAAGAAGGTTTGAGGAGAGTGACGCCCTCCACGGAGTCAGTGTACCTCTCCAGCTCCACTTCTTGAGGCAACGTCGCCATCGACGCGCTCGAGCCACGCCCATTTAGCAGGATTGCAAGAATCGAGAGGCTCGCCGCCCTCTTGCTCAAACGAACTACCGGCAAGAACGGGTCGTCCTCCTGAGAAAAGACTGAAACTTGGGCCCGAGGACTGCGATTCCGAGTTGGAATGCGAGGCTTGGTGATCGAACATGAGGTGTTGGAATTCAGAGGAGGGAATAGAAAGGGTCGAAGCTTGAAGAGAGAGCGATGATGATCTGAGAGGGCCAAGCCCCAATTGAAATAAAGACGTACTTTCGGAGACGCTCGCCTGTTAAGAGGGAAAACAACGCACTTCGGCCCAAGGATTTGCTGCTTATTTCCAGAGGGCCGAAAAGTTGGCCCGAACAAGTCCTCAAGAGGCGATCCTCACCGACCACCGTCATTCATCATTCCTCACGTGTTGGTCGTCGCGTTTTCTCGTCCCAAACAACTTTCGTTATCCAAACAGC